AATTTTTATAAATGAAATTTATATTATTTTTTTATCCCGGTTCTTTAGATACAGCCACGGAAGGCCAACATAATCCTTCTAACCAACCTAACATTACATCACCCCATACTGAATCTCAACCTAGTACAGACCCTAATGATGAAAGCCTTTTGACAAAAGTAACAAACATGGGTTCGTCCGCTTTAGGTAGGGTTTTTGGCTCAATTCCTTTTGGTGGTAAGCGTAATTCCTTTCAAGAATAAAAAAAAAATAGATTTCTAGAATTAGAAAAAAAAAGATGTTTATTATTTTGAAAAAGTTGACTGATTAATCTTTTTTATTTCCTAGATAAATCCCAGCAATCCAATCAAACAAAAATGTCTGAAGGAGGCTCGTCTGCTTTAGGTGGTGTTGGCGTAAATCCTCATGGTGGTAAGTGTTGTTACTTTTGTTACTTTTCAGGATAGTTAACAGATTTAAAAATATTAATATTCAACTCTTACTTGACACTACCCCACAAGATGATTCAGGCTCACCATCCCACCTATCTTCTGAATCTCCTAAAGGAGAAGTTGACACGTCTCATACTCTTAAGCCACAAAAAAGAGCTGATCCAAATTCAACAAATCTCGATGTAAAAGCAATTTTACCTGAAACGCGTACTAAACATAAAAAAACATTTGATTTAACGGGTGATTATAATCAAGCGAAAGAAAACGAACAAAGGGCCGACGAACAAGATAAACGTGACCACAAACCATCCGGAGAACATCATCATCAAGAAGCTAAAGATAATAAGAAACACGAATCAATAGATTTAGGTGTAAAACCACTTCATAAGCAGCCACCTTTGCCTTATAGACCCCTACATGATGAAACCGGTTCCAAAGGTCATGCAACTTCTCACGTGCCTCCCAAAGATCATGCAACTCCTCACGTGCCTCCCAAAGATCATGCAACTCCTCACGTGCCTCCCAAAGATCATACATCTCCTCCTGTACTTCCTCTCAGAGTTCCTGATCGTTCTGTTGATGAACATCATCAAGGTGATGGAAACGATGATCTTGAGGGTCATAAAATATCAAGAAAAGAAAAAGTCAACGCCACTATTGATAGAGCTGTTGGAACTTTGAAGCAGAAACTTGGTAAACTGGTTAAAAATGATCAAATGGTTTCAAAAGGCACAGATCAAAAATCTGAGGCAGATAAGGTAAAGGAAGTTGCAGATATTCAAAAGCAATCTCGGGAATTTTAAATTTTACCCAATTTGTCTCGTTTATGAACAATATAAATATATTTATTATGATACAAAACATTTACATTTTTTGCTAGCATTTCATTTCATATTTCAGTATATATATACATGTAAATCACGTGAATTAGTATTCAAATTTTTCTTTCAATAAATATAAATATACAATTTTCGATTTTGTGTATCCTTCGTTGGTAACAGAATCTTTCAAAATTCCGAATAAATATGCGTGACACAAAGGATCGTGCAAGGAGACGTCTTGCCCTTAGAGGGTTCGATGTTTCTTCTAATTAATATACGCTTCATGATACGTGAAAATGAATAATTTAATCAAATCCACACCTGTTAGAAGCGCTTAAAACTTTTAGTTTTTTTTATTTGATAAAGAAACAAAATTGAGAAGCGTTTAAACTTTGAGTGCTTTTTATTTGATAAAAAAACAAAATCGAGATTAAATATTTATATAAAAATTTAATGGAGATATTTCGTGAAAGACTATTTAATTCATCTCCCAGGTTTTGATTCTACTTTCATAACGATTTCCGTTATATCTTTCTCATGTTTTCCTAATTTATAATTCTTATCTAATTTTTCACTAGCTCCTTTAACAATTGGATTGTTAACCAAATAAATATCAGATTTATTACATGATAATGATTCCGCCAAAGTCAATTTTATTTCGTATTTCTTTGGTTTCTTACCCTCAATATTATAGTCTTGTTGAGTAATATTTTCCGATGATTCAAAGATGACTAAATTATCATCCATTGAGGATTTATCATCCTCAACTGGATAGCACAATATAGCGAACCCAATTAAAGTTCCCACGATTTCACAAATTTTTCTTCCATCTTTTCCACCTGGAATCAACTTTTTCACGCCATCAAATATACCAGGGGCCATTGTACTAATATCTCCTTTAACGCCTCCGCTTTTATCACCACTCCCGTCTTCATTATATCGATACATTAAACACCAAGCTATTATAGCCCTGTCAATGTGCGTGAGACCAGGTGCATTAGCAAGAGCACCTCCTGCAAGTGATAATTGGAATGCCGAAATAGGTCTAGCTTCTTTTGCAAAAGGCATATTCCAAAACGCGAGATTTATTAAATTTGGCAAGAGACGTTCAAGCCTTTTCGGCTTTTTAGAATTCCCTGAAGGTAGATCTGAATCAAGAATTTCATATGCAATAGATGGGATTGCTTTTTTAATATCTTTTAGTAATTTCTTATGATGTGATTCTTTAAGATGGTTTGGTTGAAGTGGATGATGTTTGATAAAAGATTCCAGCGGATCAACTGACCATTCTGATCTCGGTAATTTGTTGAAGCAATATCCTTGTCGAACTCCCCCTTCACAAAAATAAATGTGTCGCACTTTGATAACTTCCATAATAGCTTCCAATAAGAAAGCGCATGCAGGAAGAAGCTTTGCACGTCTATTGCTAATACGGAAAGGATTACCATCTGGAAATAGAGGTTTATCTTTCTCCTCTGGAGGCTCCACAACGTCAACGTTATGATTGGGAGTGATTCGCTTGGTAGCTTTGACAAGTTCTTCGGCGGACGTACCATAACCGTTAATGATGGGAATAGGATAATTTGATTTGTGGTCGGACTCTGACATACTTAAATAACCCAAAGATCTAAGTCCACCTCCGCTCATATAGACCGTAAAACCACCATCATCCGCTTTGATCGTTTCAGGAGCATTTAATTTTTTGAAACCTTCTTTTAATTCCTGGACTATACTTTTGAATAAAACATCCCGTTTCTCAGGAGTATTGTTACATTTTAATAATTTTGTTAAGGCAGCAGCACCATAAGGAAGATTAATTGGATGATTGGACATTTGGATTGTTTGTTCCTTTTCATAAGGTTGATGAGTCACGTAATTCAATTCCACCGATCCGCCACCCATATCCATGACTAATCCTTCAACTCCATAAAAAGTAGCAACGATGCCCATTCCAGAAATTTTAGCTTCAACCATTTCACATAACAATTCAACTTCCCATCCCGTGGCTTTCTTTATTCTATCAATAAACTGTTTAGAATTGGGTGCAGTACGAGTTGCTTCCGTAGCGACCACATGAACATTATCATGATTGATATTATATTGTTGAGCAATAAATTTAAATCGTTTCAAACTATTCTCGACATCGATAATTACACTTTCAGGAATATCTGTACGTACGTCGGATTGTGTGGAATTTTGTGCTTCGAATAACGAAATTGGAGCACGTTCTTCGTAGATAACAGGTAAATGGCGAGTCAATTCTGATACCAAACCAAATCTGATACCGTTACTTCCAATGTCTACGACTCCAATTCCTCCCTTTTAAAAAAATTATTCAATAAGATGTAGAAATTTACGAAATCAACAGTATTATGAAATGATATTTACCATATCGAGCGTATGTTGAATGTATGATTTGAGATTCTCATAATTTAAGAAGGTATTTATAAAAATTTACTGCATATCAATCAGTACAAACGTATGTATTAAAGATTACACTATTGATCTACATGTAAATTGTAGCACGTCGTTTGTTCCGGATTCCTTTTCCTCAGCCCAATTGTTTTGAGTGGGAAAGCAAAAAATTGAATGTAATCTTATTACCTATTTAAGGAGGGTTTAAACACAATAGGATAGTAAAAGCTTGTTATGAGGCTGAGTATTTAGTATACTACACGCCCAATATGCACGTGAAATTCATTATAAGTATGGATGTACAAAAAATCAAAAACTTTGTCAGAAATGGAATTACAAGGATCTTGTCATTGCGAAAAAGTCAAATTTACGGTGATTATAATAATTACACAATAAAACCTTTGATAAAAATTTTAAATATTTAAAACTCTTGATTCCATAGGTCAAGTCACAAACTCCAGTACCTTTTATGCGATGCTATTGGTCTGTACTTTCAAGTTTTATTATTTCTTTTCCAATAAAAATCAAAAAAAAAATATTCTTATTTTCTTTTTTTTTATAGTTCAATTTGTCGTAAAGTTGACGGAGGTGGTGGATACTCCATTAATATAATGGGACAAGCACGTATCATACGAATTAATGTGATTTGTATATTAAAAAAATTAAAAATTAAAAAAAGATGTTTTATAACAGAATGACACTTTGAAAGTAAATGGTATGGAATATGTAAAGTAAGTAAAAACTTTATTTGTAAAATTCTTATTAATGTTAAATTTCTCTGTTTAATAACCAATTATAATTTAGATCTTATCGAGGTATTAAGGATAAATCATTACCAAAAAACCGACAAAAAGAATGGTAAGAATTCCTTATATAGATAGAGTTCATTCGAGGGGTTTTTTTTTCAACATCATATAAATAACATAACAATATCAATTTAACAGTGGGAATAAACGACATTTCTGTGGTGAATGCGGATGCATGTTATGGGCCTATGATCAACAATATCCTGAATGGGTAAAACATTTCACGTTTGTTCACACCTTTTTTTTTTACCTTGATGTTTATTTTTCTTTTTGCAAATTTCAGTGTTATCCATTCGCTTCAGCTATCGATACTCCACTCCCAAAACCCAAACAGATCATTTGTATCATGTTGAAAGACAAAGCTGATTGGGCTCACGTTCCAGAGGGGGCTGTTGAATTTGACGAATATCCTGAAGATTCGATTGAGTCATGGCATAAAAATAATAAAGCTTGGGTTGATTGAGAAATCGTAACAATTGAATAAGATTTTGGAAATAAAAGCAATTCTTCAGTTTGTGACTTTAATAATTTCATGAATGTTAGGATTTAATTAGTAAATGCTCAATAAAATTTATTTCAATCATAAAATTTGCTTATCGTACATGTTTATATTAATTTATATACTACAATTTTGTATTTCGCTTACAATAGTATTTGTATATTAAAAGTTATTAATGCGTAACCATCATCTTTTTTTACATGAAAAAAAGAGAATCGACTTTTTTTTTCAGGCTACAAATTATGATAATTTTATGAGATAGTTCTGTTCTGTTCTTGCCGATAATGGCTTATTTATCAATCAAGGCATTAGTGCTCCGCAGTTCGAAAAACGCGGTAATGCAAATTTAAAGCCAAATTCGGTCATTGTAAAATAAGTATTGTCAAGATTAGGAATAGAAAAACAAAATTAGTTATTCAAGATCCAGTCATTTTTATGGTAAATTTTCATCCCCGAGTCCGTTAACATATAGGGAAAGTGAAAAAAAATTTTTTTTTTTTACTACCGAACAAATTCTGTCCCAGAATACACAGACCTTATTAACAAACCTGCCGCGAAATTAAATTTTTTGTCAAATTTAAAATAGGTTTAGGCAAGGAACGAGCAACCTTAAATGACAAATGTTAACTGCTAAAAAAGAGTATATATATATATATACGTGCGTGGGATTTTTTTTTGTTTCCAATAGGAATTTTGTTTTATTATAAGATTTAAATATTTAAAATACTTTTTAGTGGCTTAATTGCTTTTAAGAGGCTCATTTTTGAGATATAGAAATTTCATTGAACGTTAAAATAGAGCTGCGGCATTATAAAATTCCCAAAAATAGATCGTATCACCTTATTATTCAAAATAAAAATCCCAACTTTTCAATTTTTTTTTTTTTTGTCATCGCATTACAATAATGTTTTTTAGCGAAACTCTCTTACCAGAGCCTTCTCAAACTGAACAAAAACCAAATATTTGGTCAGAGCCCTCTTCGTCGTCTTCTAAATTTAGTAATAATAAATCACGAAGACACAAGCATCCACGTAAAAAACAACGAACGAATTCTCAAGATTATGCAGACTTATTAGTATTTGGTTATGAAGCCAAAACTTTTCGTGACGACGAAATGGCGCATAAGGTTAACAACGGTGATTTGTTAATACCTTGGAGGGGAGAAACCGAAAATAAAATTTTATTAGATAGGTGAGCTTCACATAACTATAAAAAGTCGAGCTCATTATAAAACTATAAATTTTTTTTTTCAAAAAACAAAAAAAAAAAGCATCATATATGGCGTCTTTGTCGACCATAGTATGTCGTTTTACTGTACTTTTCATTATACACTAACCTTTTTTAGAGTTAAAGGTATTATATAAAGTTTGAAATACTATATTTTTAAGTTAGAAAGTGTTTCCCAACACAAAACATCAAACGAAGGAATTAAAGACGGTTTCTCACAATAGCATATTATGGTATATACAGCAACGAGAAAACCAAGGGAAACAAAAGATTTCTTTGACCGATCAAAAGGTCAAAATTTGATCAAAGATTATTGGCTAATTTTATGATTTATCCTCGAACGCGTTGTTTGCAGATATGATGTAAGAAACCTGCTTGATGACCGTGATCAATTCAAAAAAGTTGCTTATACAATGACAAGGAAATCAGAAGAAGACATTGAGCAGGAGAAACTCTGTGATGAAGAAAGATGGGCTGATTTAGATTCAGAATTTGAGGATTTGTATGACATGTCTGAAGAAGAAAGAGACGATTATGTTGGTATGATACAATCGAATCGATTTATAAATTTAACTCTCAATTAATATAAAAAAAATGATATATATTATTATATTATTTGCAGAAGAGAAAAGGAAACGTAAAAAAATGCAAGAAGAAAATAGAGAATACAATTACAGTTATTCGGATGAAAATCCGCGCTATGGTATAATTTATAATTTAACTTCAAAAAAAAAAAAAACATTGATCTATATACAATATAATGATTAACGTTCATTCATGTAAACAAGTATCGTTTTTAGAAGTAAAGGCTGTACCAGTTCCAAAACCCGATTATACGCCAAAGTTCTCTGCTCCTAATGGAATGATCACGGTATATGACAATATTTGCAGGATGTAGCTTGGCATTGATTCATATTATAAGAACTTATTTTGGTGTATCAACTTCATTTATATTCAGCCTTCTGATAATCGGATTGATGAGATCATTGAACGTACCGCCAAGTTCCTTAATTCTAGTACGGATCCTCAAATGGAGATTGTTATTCAGGCTAAGCAAGCCAACAATCCAAGCTTCTCCTTTCTAAATAAAGATGATCCGTTATATCCATATTATAGACATGTACGTTTATTATTGCAAACTGGCCTCTTTGCCTATGGGGGAAGTGATGATCAAGAGGATTCGTCTAGTAATGAAGGAAAAGGCAAAAACGGTAATGGCTTGTCTAATGACAAGTTAGAAGGGAATGATAATATTGAAGAAGAGAGGGCGGATAGAAAATTAGAGTTAGAAAGATCTAAAGTAGAAAATTCTACATCTAGTGTGAGCAGCCATGAATCTATTCCTTCACATAATCATAATACAACTCCCAGACCTTCAAGACCGCCTCAACCTTTTGGTCCTATCGTGTAGGCATACAGGTTTTCAAGTTTATTTAATAGATATTTTAATTATGAATAATAACCATTATCATTATTTTTATAGAGTGCCACCACCAGATCTCAAGGTTATAGTCGACAAAATGTCTGCATACGTTGCCAAGAATGGGCAATCCCTCGAAGCCAAAGTTCGAGAAAAACATATAGATGATCCTCGTTTCAGTTTTTTGTTACCTTGGAATGAATTTCATCCTTATTACAAACAAAAGATTAAGGATGAGAAAGCTACATTTGAATCAATGGAAAAAGAGAATGTGGACGAATCAGAAGAAGAATAAACGGTATAAGTAGTTCTATTTTTTTTATTATTATTTGTTGAATTTGTGTAGCCCTTTTTATTGCCTTTTTTATTATAGAGTTTACGGATTGCTTTTTTTAGTCTAGTTTAGTTATCTTCTATTTAGTCATTTCAACATTTCAATGTTACAGCCATCAGCGGTGATTATCATATACTATGTGAATTCCTACCAAGGATTCATTTGTTGATATATTATTATTAAATTAATAAATAATTAAACGAAAATAAATAAAATCAATTAAAATCTTACATCTTGATAAATTTAATTATTTATTGTTTTTTTATAAAAGTATATATAGAGATATTATTAGTTATTATTCAAACGAAATCAAAAAAAAAAGAAAAAAAAATATTTTTTTTTTGTATCAGAAACGAGGAATCCCTGTAAATTTGTTTTACGTTGAAATCCACATGATAATTCAGGATATCAAAAATACGTCAAAACTCTCATCATTAAATTAATTTTTATAAAACTTTTAAACTTTTTTTTTTTTTTTTTTTACTTACCAGTGAGATGATTTGTCCGATGACGTGTAAAATTTCTAGTGGTCATTACTTATTAGAAAGGGTTTTATATTTCAATATGTATGCTAAGAATGACCTTAAAACAACCATTCTCTATTTCCTTTTCTTTCGTCTCGAATTTGAAGAATGGACCGATTTTGTTTTGGAACGCGTTTTATTTGAAGTTTTATTTCTTGGTTGACGTTTTTTCTTAATTTCATTTTTTGATTTCTTCTTTACACTAAAAAAGCAAGTTTTAAAAAATTAGAAAAATTTTATTTATAATGTTATATTTCGTCCTTTTATATACCTTATAGATTTCGGTTCTGAACTTTTTGTTGGAACTGGTACAGGTGAAATTGTTTGATGATCCTAATAAGTAAAGTAATGATTATTACTACTCATTTTATCAAATGGTATATAAGAAAGAATTAAAGTGGCGTATACCATGATTTCTTCATCGATTCGTGGTTTCTTCGAAACATTCCCAAAAGTCTCCGAAATATTAAAGTCTTCAATGATTGTTACTGTAGTCATCAAATCAGCTGACCTGAATTCCGACTGAGTAACGTTAGATTCTTGTGTGATATCTTTATTCGTTACTTCTTCATTTGGTTCATCTTCATCACTTTCTTTAGCATCAACTTGTCCAATGATTCCATTCCTCTCTAAATATATTAACGTAATCCTATTCTTTTAACATTTATTTTCATATAATGAAAAAATCATTACTTTACTTACGATTAATAATTTCTTGAAGTTTGTTTAACCTCTGCTTTACTTGTTCTTTTACGGATTCCCTTGCCTAATTCAAAAAAAAAAAAAATGTATATATATATATCTATATCAGATGATCTATAAATGGTATATAATAACGGGTTGGAAAATTAAACCTTTTAAACGTACAGCTTTTCTTGCCTTTGACCTCTCTTGTTTAGCAAGTTGTAAGGAAGCTTCTTTTGCTTTTGCTTTCCTTTCTAACTTCCTTTTATGAAAACCAGTTAAGAATTCTCTGTAAAAGAAAAGAACAAATATATATACACACAGAGTAAATAACTTTACCATTACAATCCCCATTTTAATGATAGAATTTAATACGTTGATACCGTCTTGCCGTTTCGTCAAATACAACCTCCGGTACTTGCTCGTTTCTGTTTTTTCGTTTTTTCGCATATACTTTACTTCCTTCTGTTAATATTGCTAAATTATCCATTAATCCTTTTCTCTCGTATGATAGATATTGTAGGTTGAAATGTATGATTTGACGAGTCAAATTTATTTTTGATCGGATTAAGTCACGTGACAAGTCAGGAATCAGGCAAAAAGGTTAATCATCACGTGAACGGACAGAGAAACACACGGGACCGAAGATTTTCACATTGCGTAGACTTACATTGTCCTTTCGTTTCGCTCAGGACAAATAAAGTATCAACAATTGCGGGACAAAGTTAAAAGTATTCCCCGAAAAGATTTCTGCGCTTCCCAATAAATCACGTGG